TCTATATATATATTTATGGATAATATCAAGTTCGAATATAACCATTTATCGCTTTCAACCTATCGTAAAAGTTCAGCCGACGATGTTCGAGTTATTTATCGGGAGCACCATTAAATGAACTGTAATTAGTCATAAACTTACGGTTATCAACGGAAAGTAATATTAAGGATACGTCGCGTGCGGCCCCGCCATAGTACTTCCTTTTTCTTCGCTTTCAAACGTTTTAATTAGTCGAATTGACAAAAAACTTCAAGCGTATTAAGAATTTGCGCAAAAGCATTAAATCGTTTATTATATTATATATACGTATGGAGAAATAAATACTACTTACGATCTCGTTCGACAAAAAGTGAGTTAAACGTTCGCCCTTGTTACTCTCTCTCTCTCTCTATCTCTCTTTATCTCTCGATTAAAATAGTTTTGAATATACATAAACTTACAGTGAAACATATGTTGCACGTGCGTATTTAAGACGGATCTAATTAAATTGGCAAACTTGTGTTAATCCGGTCAATAATATACCATTAGTTTTTGTGTTCGATTTGGAGGAACATTTTATATCTTAAGAATCGTATACGCGATTAGAGAATGAAACAAATTCGATGACCTGAAATTGATCTACGAATGTGCACTGTAGGGACATAGAGAAACAGAAAGAGAGGAAGGGGGGGGTATGGTTGAATGAATTGTTTTGCGCTCATCATAGGTTATTGTACGCGTTCATTCGCGATCAGTGTATTTAACAAAGTTAAAAATCGATGTGAGGGTGTTGGGGCAGGGAACGGGGTGGAGAGTGGGGGGGGGGCTTAAATGCGAAGACAAAACCAGTGGACAAATCGATACAACCACGTTTGAATTCCGTCCAACCGGCCAAAGCAATAGAATTCGCATATGCACACATTGTATATACAGTACGATCCTTTTGTGTGTTCGGCACGAACTAATTGGAAACAGGAAAGCTATACGAACTTAATGATTTTATAAACTCTTCGCTATTTCGTAGTCGCGTAAACATTTGTTTTTCGATCGGTCGATTAACTTTGAGTGATTTCGAGTGCGGCGCTTTATACGCGTTCCCCGTACACGAAAAACGAATTCGAAATCCTAGAAAATCTTTTTCCTTCGGATCCCGGTGTTTACACGCGTCCCCATCGTTTACGTCGGGTTAAGTAAACGAGAAACGGGATGCGGCTTCTTTCATCGTTCTCATACTATTGCGCGTATTTTGCTTTCCATTCTATGTATTTCTATATACTAGTAACGGTAAAGTTAAAACCCTAACTTAACTCGAATTCTCATTGTTATCTCGCAATACTATCCTGCGTGCATACTATATATATATATATGCAATCTTTTCTATTTTCGTGTTACATTAATTTTAATTATTTAATAATATTATAGAGAAGAGTGTGATATTATAAAAAAAATGCTATTCATCGTTTAGTCTTTTTCGCGCATCTTTTTACACGAATAATTGTAAAAAAAAATTGACTCGGGGTGTATTTAAAATACATCATCCTATAAAATAAAATCATCGTTGAGTCGTTTGCGTTTACGCAAGTTGGATATATTATTTTGTATATCATTCTCGTTTTCTCTCATCATATCTTCGCACTACCGCTCTACGATCACGATCATCATCATCATCATCATCATCATCATCATCATCACGTAGCATTGTTATTTCCGTTCTAAGTTGCAACTACGACGTTATACGGGGTAAGTGGAAATACTTGATCGAGAAGCTCGGACTCGTTTACGTTTCTCGATGCTGGTAAGTAGTACGACGATCGTTTGATCGCGTAACATTTTGTTGTTACGAGTATAGTTACACGTAATCGTCAACGATGAAAACGACGAGACAAAGTTTACGACTTTAGAAAATCGAAACTGCATACTTCAACGTTAAGTTTATTTCTTCTTACGTATAATATCAACACCCGCGCTACGAGCATTAATTATATCGTTTAAAGATGTTTAATTAATCGAAACCACCGTTAGAAAAATATAAAAAGACAATTTCGTTATTTTAATCGCGCTATAAACGAATATGTTTAGTATTATTGAGAGAGAGATAGAGAGAATATATGTATGTATGTATTAGAGAGAGAGATAGAAAAACAAAACGAGAAACAAGGAAATAGAGAGGAAGAGAGAGAGAGAGAGAGAGAGAGAGAGAGGGAAATCGTTTATCGACGAGGCATCGCGTTGCAAATTGCACAACGTACCTCACGCACGGCTGCAAAATTAACTCGCGAATCGTTATATTGTATTATACACGAAACGCACAACTGGCAACTCCGATGGTGTTCCCGTTTCGGACGTACATATGTTCTATGTATATAGTGCGTGTATATACAATGCTAGACGTATACGAGCCCGTTTATTTGAATGAAGCTACGCGAGGGGTAATCAATATTAAATAGCAATTTGGGTGGCTTTCAAACCTCTCCCCTGGTAAATCTACTCGTTGAAAGATAGCAAATAAACATTTGTTAAATTTTATTGCAACATCTGTTTTTACGTTATCATACATTTTTTCCTTTTTTTTTTGATTTTGTTTTAGAACAATTTAGTATAGATCTACGCGGGATAATCGCGGTTTTTAGATGACTTATCTTCGTGAATAAGAAATATGTAGTTATATTATTGTATCATTTATCGGAGTACGAGAGTATGCTCGTTAAAACCGTATACGTTCGTTCCTTCTCGTTCAATTTAATCTTACAATTACGTATACCGACTTCATTATAAAAGTATCGTAAGTCACGTATCTCGTTATATTAGCTCACCGACGAACGCTAATTACGGCATCGATCAACGAATACCCTCCCTCCCTCCCACCCTCCTACTCCCCCCTACTCACCCATCCCCCCACACTCAGTTAGAAATCAAGCAGATTTGAGAACGTGCAAAATTAATCCCTCGACGGCGATTACGCCTTGCTCGTCGAAACTTGATTTATTATCAATTAACGCGGGAGAGAGAGAGAGAGAAAAAGAGAGAGAGAGAGGGAGGAGAGGGGGGGAGGGAAAGGATCAAATTATTCTCGTATTTCTCGAATCCAACGATTACCGATGTCGTTATTCGAAGAAAATTTGAAGAAATTTACAGTAGACGTTTCTCTAATTAAATTTTTATTACCCTTCGTATCGATTTCAACAGGTTTTCTAATAAATAGGAAAATTTGTGGAACGCGCGTAAAATTATTCGTGAATGTGTGTCGCATCGACGAGTGAAACTTATCGATTTATCTGAGGTTCTCTGTTCTCTCTCAAGAGAACAGGCAACCTCATCGGTTTCGATCACAAAAGGAAAAGCTTTCTTTTTCTCTCTCTCCCTCTCGTTAGACTCAATATCCTAGAAGAGTTCCCGTTAGTGGACGATCACGAGGATGGGTTTGCCAGCAAGTAGATTTTTCATAATTTTTACTTAGGGCGAACTCTCGTACTATCTACGATGGTTTGTATCCTCGGTATCGGTGATATTCGATCACTCGAGTTGTTTAGAAAATTTTCTTCGATATTAGTTAGGACAGAATAGTTTTCTTGATCGTTACTCGGCGAAACGGGAGAGAAGGAAGAATAAAATTGAAAATAAGAGAACAGAAAAGATAGAGAAAAGAGCGGTATACCATCGCACATAACTCTACTCGTCTGTACTTTTTCTTATTCTTATTCTTCTTCTTCTACTTCTTAGGTCGACGACTATCAAGCACTGAAACGAGTCGAGCGTACATACACACACTCACACACACAAATAAACACACGTATACACACAAACGAGGAGTCGTCCTTTCTCAGTTACAATAACTTAAAGGATTAACGACGTCGCGATTCTCGCGAGCGTGACTCACGCGCGTGGATGCGCGCGAGGAAAAGCTTTTTCTCTCTCGTTCCATCTCATGTCTGTCTGTCCGTTTGTCTGTCCGTCTGTCTATCTGTCTTTCTTCCTCTTTCTACGTTCTTCGTTATTCGCAAGAAGAATAAGAAGAAGAAGAAGAGGACTCTCACAAGATCAGCGATCGTGAAAACGACGACGACGTCGCTTCGAGTAGCGGTAACTCCGAGTAAAGCGGCCTTGAAATTTACGATACGTTTTAACGTCCCGCGAGCCGGCTACTACTTGAAGAACGGGATCGCAGTTACGGAAAACAGTTTATTAAACTATTTCGTTTCATCGATGCCAATATCTTTCTCTCTTTCTACTTTTATTTCTCTCTCTTTCTCTTTCTATCTCGAAAACTTGGATCGTTCGAGCCTTAACCCGGTTTTCTTTTATTTTATTTTGTTTTATTTTATTTTATATTTTATATTTTATATTTCATTTATTTTTTGTTCTTTCTCCTACCACGCGTTAAAATACTTCCCACGATCTATATTTTTCGACGTAAAGTAAAGAAAATAAAAAAAAGAACGAATTAGTCTTCGTAATCGTCGTTAAATAATCGTAATCAGTTACTATATTCATCCTTGGAAATAAATATATCTACATAAATATGTATAGATATTTTCTACTAAAAAGATTCTTTTTTTCTTTTTTTAAGAAAAAGAAATTATATATATTTATATTATAAATAAATAAATCGTATTCGCGATTTTTTCGATAGAGAAACGTTGAACGATTGCTGCTGCTGCTGCTGCTGCTTCTGCTGGCGACGATCTCATTTCGCGTTTTAACATAGAACAGAATATTATTACGCTCGTAGGTCAGAAATCCTTGGGATTCTCTTATCCCGCGAAAAGCGCGGAAGCGAAGTCGTATCATGAGTCGTAGCTCGCAAGCGTATAACAAACCGGTGAACGTACTTGAAATCGCACGGTGGAGATCGGCCGAATCGGCCGTCGTATCTTGCCCCCTTCCTCTCCACCCCACCCCCTACCCTCTCACTGTCTCTCTCTCTCTCTCTCTCTTTCTCACAGATCTCTCGCAATACTCTTTCTCTATTTCCTTCTCGCACTCTTTCCCCCTTCCAATCGTCTTCCTTCGTCTTCGTTTTCTTCTTCTCCACCTCCACCAGTGCCACCTCCACCTTCACCACCTCCACCAGCACCAACAGGAACAGCAGCAGCAGGAGCAACAGCAGCAGCAGCATCACCACCATTCGCCTGCCTCCCCCTTCCATAGGACGTCCCGTCGCACTAATAATTCGTGAGTACGTTGCGGTGATGTTGAGCATTCCACCTGCCAACAGCAACCGGGCACATCCCCCCACCTGGTGGATACCGGCAGGAAAAGTGGCCGCACGCCTTGCAATCCCAGCATTTCTGTGTTGGTTGTGGCCGTGAACGGGGCTCAAGTCCAAGGGCACGCGAGAAAGAAAGAAAGAAAGAGAAGGACGGAAAGAACGAAAGAACGAAACAGAGAACGAGAGAGAGAGAGAGAGAGAGAGAGAGGGCGGCCTCCCGGAGTGCTGCCGTTGCCGTTGCTGCTGTTGTTGCCACTGCTGTTCGTCGTTCCTTCCTCTTATTCTTCTTATTCTTCTCTTATTACTACCTCTTCCTCTTCTTATTCTTATTCTTCTTCTTCACCTTCTTCTGCTGCGTGTGGGACCCGTCTTCTGCGGCTTCCTCTTCTACGCTGCTGATACTACTACTACCACCACCACCGTTTCCTTACTCATCGTCAACCCTCGTTCGAGTTCACCCTACGTCCTGGGGGAAGAAGATTCTACGGGGAGCAACTCGCCGAGAAGATTTAAATAAGGTAGGTGGATATAATTTGTGACAAAAAAAAAATAAGAAAAAAAAAAGAAATAAACGGTAAAAGTGATGCGATCGAACTAAGAGAGCCGCTGTCATCCCTATTCCCTTTTCCCCCTTCTTAACCCTTCTTCTTCTTCTTCTTCTTCTTCTCCTTCGCGATTCGGTTTACCTCGACGATTTCTAATCGGTTTTTCCACGCTCGAAAGAGTTCCTCCAATCGGGATTTCAATTTCGTTACACGCTTCGTCAAAGTGGGACAGGTAAGATAGGGAAGGGAAGATCGATTTTGATCGTGAGACGCAAAGACTCGTTTCTTCTTCTTCTTCTTCTTCTTCTTCTTCTTCTTCTTCTTCTTCTTCTTCTTCTTCTTCTTTGCTTTCCTCTTTGCGTTCCTTTGATCGCGATCGGAGGCGAAGATCCCTAGCGAAGAGTCGACGACTTCTCTCTTACCTGTCGTCGGGTCGCGCCTTTAAGAGCTCCTTTTGGAGTTCGGAATGACGCGAGGAGGAGATCCCTTTCGCCCTCCTCCTCCTCTCGATCCTTCAACTCGATCCTTCGTAGATGGATCTCTCTCCTCGCTAATGCAGATTCAACCGGTAGAGAAAATTCGAGATCTCGCAAAAGGGAGATTGTTTTTTCTTTTTTTTGTGTGTGTTTTTTTTTTCGTTACCAATTAAATGGAAAATTCCGATTATTGCCGTCATCCTACTCTTCTTTCTTCATCCTTTCCCACGTAGAAGAGGTGGCGAAGGAGGGAAAGGGGGGTAGAATTCGAGGATAGATAACGCCGATTGGCCCGGCCGTTTCCATCATCTCGGGTTAGGAAAAATTTTTTTTCCATTTCGCATTTTCACGTATCGCCGAATACCGGACGGACGGACGGACGGACGACCACCACCTACGGGAACCGCGTTCGTTCGCGTTTTATATTTTTCCCGATTAAATCGATGAAGGTTCATCCGCGACGGTTTATAACCACGCATCTCTACCTACCAACCAACCAACCAACCAACCAACCAACCAACCAACCAACCTACCAACCATCGGACACCAAGTAGGTACGTGTGTGTAGTACGTTTTACGCTGAACTACTATACGGTTCGTCGGGAAAAACAATTTTCCATCTCGACGATTCCGTGAACGAGAGAACGGCCGTATCCTTGCCAGACAAATTCTGATCCTACGTTGGTGTGTTTTCCTACTGTGCGACGTCAGATACGATAGTGGAGAGTTAAAACATCGATCTTCTCGACGATCTAGATCAATCCAAATTTTTTCTAAACTAAATCTAACAGAATTGTCTTTTTTTTTTTTTATTTCTTTTTAAGTGAGCACGTTCGAGATGAACATTTCGTAACGCAAAGAAAAGAAAAGAAAAGAATAGAATAGAATAGAATAGAAAGAAGTTCGAGACAACGCTTTAATGAACGAGAATGGAAATAGAGAGGAGTGTGTGAGATTCGTAAAACCGTTGTTTTTCCGGTCTTTATCTCTTCAGCGAGCGAGCAGACGATTCCGTTGCGTCTGGGTTGCAACGTTCACGCGCGCGAAATGCAGGAAGTTGTATATAGGTGGAGGTGGTTAACGATTTTAACGCGTGTACATACGCGTTACGCAAAATCTTCCCCCTCTGTATAACGATCGATCGATCGATCGTTTATAGATCTTTCGATAGTTTATTTTAGTACGATTCGTGTTTGCGGAGACTGACTCGTATGAATGTTCTCATTTATTGCAAAGAATAGTACTAGGATCATCGTGTTTATCTAACGTCTATTCGATTTTATTTTTAATTGCAGTTTGAGAGAGAAATTCCGTGCTCGGTTAACTGTAATTACTGATAGTTTTCCATCTTTCTCTCATTCTCATTCTCTCTCTATCTCTCTCTTGTATATATTCTCTCGTCAATTTATAACGGTACTTTGTTTACTGACGTTGTGCAGCTACTCGAAATAGTCATGTCAAAGTGTCGACTAAATCTTCATAGAAGAAGAAGACGTAGAAGATAAATAGGAAAGTGAATAAAGGTCGAATGTGAAGAGCGAACGTTCTGCGCGACGCGGTATTAAATTCTTCGTTGCATCGAGGTGCATTCGCGGGAAAATCGGTTCCTGTAATTACCTTAATGAATGGCAACAAAAGCAGGGAGAGATAGACTCTCATACCGACCGATATTATGTTTTTCGTTGAGGGTTCACCCTTCGAGCGGCATCTTCTTGTCTTGGTTTGTCTCCTTCTTTAAGGTATATCCCTTTCCATCCTTTACACCCGTTTTCTCTTAACTTCTCTTTACTCCCACCACTTCACGTTTCTCTTTAGCAAAGGTAGTAAGACTGTTTCCTTAGCCATTACATTGTGGCGAACTGTTCGACTAACTTTGAAATAATTAGTCCGGATAATGAAGTTCGACGGCACAATGGCTTTAGTAGTGTGGGGGGTAATGAGATTCTTACCCCTCTACCTGGAGCTTTACTACCGTTTTCGTACGATATTGATTACTTAAGGTCCTTGGATAAACCCTTGGAGGAGGAAGTTGAAGCGAGCGTGAGTAAATCAATCTTATCGTCCTTGACCGGGTAGAGTCGGGGAGGTGGCGGAGGTAGCAGCAGCAGCTTTTCTCTGTCATCGTCGTCGTCGTCGTCGTCGTGTCTTTGCAAAATCTTCGACGTTAACGTTAATCGAGTACCGGCTAAAAACTCAACGAGCCGGATAGTAGGTTCGTGTTCTTCCGGAAGACATTTACCTAGCTACCTAGCTACCTAGCTACCTACCTAGCTACCTACAATCTTTCTTCCTTTCCTCGTCTTAACGTATATCCGTGCGTGTCTCCGCTATTCCGTACCACGCGAAGGATTATCGATAAAGTTTTACCGTCACGAGAGAATATATTAGCTTGATGGTTAACAGCCTGTCCAAGTTAGCGACGAAATACTCCGAGAGTCTGCGAATGGCCAACTACTTCCACGCTTTTGAATAATCGAAGTAGTTTCTTGCGCGAAACGACGTCTAAGAGTAGTCGGTTAGCACGAGTCGACGAGTATCAACGATATTCCAAAGAAATAGAGAAGTCTAGGGGAATGAGAAAGATAGGAGATGTATAGAAGGACTCTAGGAACTAGAAGCTTGTATTCTCTTATCCAAGGACCATCTTTTACACCGTAAGAATGGCCTTTCCTAGAAAAGCTTTTCTTCTACTACTCTTCTACTCTTCTACTTCTACTTTTACTTCCTCGTACGAGAGAACGAGAAGATAGATATTACGAGGGACAATATTAATTGCCCATGGCCGGCCGGGTGGTAGTATCGAGTGGCAAGAGGAAGCAATATAGCAGGAGCACACAGGAACCCTCGAGCTTTTGCTCGCCATGGGCCTGATTAAGGACTACTACTACCTCCTCCTCCTCCGCCTCCTCCACTCGAAGGAGCTTTTTTCTACGACGCCTGAACACCGATTCGATTAAGATCACGATCTACGAGTGGGAAATTAACGTGTCAATTAGAAAGTCGAAACGATATACGCCTGTCAAGTGGATTTCCTAGCCGCGTGGGTACTATCCTGTGTTATGTCCAGCTTAAGAACGCGTTGCTCGTAAATTATTGCGTTATGCATCGTCGACGATACACGATCGACGCGATATAATGGGAAGGAGAAGAACGGGAAGAAAGGGTGGGGAGTAGGAAGAGGAGGAGGAGGAGGAGGAGGAGGAGGAAGGACGTGCTCTCTTGTAACGCGTTGCCCGGACGGTAATCTAACAAACCGATCGAGCGAACGTCGACGGTCCTGGCCAGTGCAGATAAAAGAGTACGACCTCGATGGGCATTCGATATCGATAGTGTACGGGAAAAGATGCGGTCTAGGACGTCAGCTTTATAAAACGAATTCTTCCGACGTGTCCTATATATCTGCTTCGTTATTACCGTTTCTTCTTATTCCCATCTTCGATTCTAGATTTTGCAACGTAAACGAGTCATTTGCGAGAGGGGAAAAGAGAATTTTTGAAAAAAGAAATACTCGTAGGTGGAATCCCCTTTCGTGTGTTCATTTGGAATTTATCTTCTGTTCGAATTTTACGTAACATTTATTCTACCTTTCCTGAATTCTTTCTTTACTTTCGCGATTTTGCTGCGAATGCAATATGAGAACCACCGTCTTTCGTTCAGTCCTTGGTAAGAAGACCATCCATACGCACGAACAGAACAGAACAGAACAGAACAGTTTGTATTTTCATAAGTCCGCTAGGACATAGACGTGGTTACACGATATTAGCACACAAAGGGTACGCGGTTGCATTCGAGGGAAGGCATTGCTACCTCGAAGGGTTAACGTTTACAAACGTTCAGGAACTTGGAACGCGCGAACGTGCACATTGCGAATTGTTCTACGAGAAAGTACGGGAAAGGGAAAAGGGGATCAACGAGAGAGAGAGAGAGGGGGGAATGGGGGGAACACGAAGAGATGTGACTCAATTATCGAATCAATTTTAAAAGAATTTCGACGAAACGTAGCACGAACCACCACAGGACGACGAGTATACCAACGATGCTCTCATCCTCTCTTTCCTTCATCGATTTCTTTTTCTTCTTCTTCTTCTTCTTCTTCTTATTCTTATTCTTTTTCTTCTTCTTTCTTTTCTCCTCTTATTCTTCCACCACCACCACCGGCACTTTCCATTCGACGTTACAAGCGCGTCGCTTCATGCGTGAAACGTGTACCGTTTTTTTTAATTCGACACGAGCAACGAGGAAGCCATCGTTTCCGCGATTGTTTCCGGGTAGACGCCCGAAGCGTTGCAGGTGCTATGTTTTTACCTATATCTACATATATCTCACGACGTATCATCATCATTTTTCTCTGTTTAGTATGAAATGACTTAGAAGAATGAACGACGAATTAGATACATATACATATATTTTGTTATCGTTAAATAATCGTGAGATAAAAATTCTTATCTCTTATTTTACTCCGCCCCTCCTCTCTTTTTATTCTTTTTCTCGTTAATA